ATGGTCGTGCTCGACCACCGTCCCTCCTCTGCTCTTGGACCTTTGGTGTCGCGTGACTGTCGGTCTACCTATCTCTTTCGCCGGCGAAGTTTAAATAGGAGGAGACGAGCACTTTGGTCGTCGACCGGTTAACAATTGTTGGAGTCGTGGCCCGTCGGTCTCAATTAGAGGTGAGTCATTATCTTTTTTCTGCTCTGGTTTCATTTTTTCCAATCTATGTGCTGTTGCGAGCGGAAGGCCCTCAGGTGGATTTGGTTTTTCCGGCGATTACTGCTCAGGGTTTTTCTTCTTGTCCTGGTACTGGTGGTTGACGGTGATATTGTCTGGTTCGTGGGTCGTAAGGCGGGATGTGACTATGATGGTGTGTCGAAGTTGTGGGCCCGAGCTGCACCCTGTTTCGGCTAGTGGTGTTAGACGGTAGGGTTCTGGTGCTCCTAAGCTCGGTTAGTGGTGTTAGGCGTGCTTGGGGTGTGCAAGAGTGGGTGCGAGTCCAGTTGTTCCTCCGGTAGAGGCGAGTCTTTTCGGAGATTGGTTTGTGTTAGGGCTCCACTTCTTATATAGGCCTTGTGGTAGGTTCGTAAGCCGTCCCCAGGACTTGGATTATTCTTTGATATCGACTGTTCTCCACTGGTTAGGGCCGACTGATTGTTGTGGAAGGGCTTTATTTATTATTAGTTTGTGTCTTTTTTTCTAGGTTTTGTTATGTAGTAGATGTGTGTTTTGGTATGGGCTATTTGCCTGTGTGTTCTTGTCAAGTGTTTTTTGGTTTGGGCCGTTAGCTCCTATGCCCCCGAGGTCACTTTTTTATCCTATTGGGATCCGACACTCGGATATTACCCTTTTGGGGTCTTTTTAGTTTTTTTTTAGTTGTGTTGTTGGTTAGTTTAGTTGGGAGTTTTTATTTTAGCGTTGCTAGTCGGGATTCTAGGCGGTCTTCTGACCTGTCCTCTCACTTTTTTCAGTTGTTGGTTGCTGTGTATTCGCAGATTTGTGCATGTTGATTTATAATATTATCTATCGTTTTAGAAAAAAAAAAAGGTAAGTATAATATATTGTAGTTAGACAATTATGTGCATCGAGAAGAGTTTTTTAATTTCAGTTCTAAACTTAATATTTTTTATACATTGTTTATAATTCATTTAATTAATCGACATTTATCGAAACCTATTATATGGCATGAAATCTTAACTGGTCCTAGGGTCATGTCCACACAGATAGTGAATTTTAAGATTTGTTGAAGGGTGACAATATTTAGTCAAGCGTAATTGTGGGCTTAAATAAGAGCTAAAGCCCATTATCATGTCAAAATAAATAAATGAATAAATAAATATTGGTTTTCAAGTGGCAGTGCGCACGGACAGAAAAGATAAACTGAGAGAAACATTTAAAAAAAAAAAACCATTCCCGATTTTTGCATCTGCACAACGCAGTCCCAGAAAATTGCGGATTCCCGGAGATTGCACCGTTGGATCGTCATGAAATTTTGACAGCAGGTTCATGACTTCTTACTCTTTGTATTGAATGGTGGATATCGGATTTTGAGCATGTTTGAGCTGTCTGTTTTAGGGTGATGTGAAGGGGATATTTGTGGTGTTTTTGTTGAATTGTTTCTCGTTGTTAGCCAAGATCTTGTGTTGTGATCTTAAGGATTGTTGTTAGACTATAGTTTGCTGAACGGAGAGAATTTAGGTTGTACCCATTATCGGATTGATATAGTGGATGATTTAAGCGGCCTACAGGTATTACCCAATTTGGTGTTTTCCAAGCTAAAAATCTTGTTTCATTTTATTGCTTATTTGATTATCGTTTGGTTGTTATTGCTTGTGTTTATTGTTGTTATTGAATTGGACTTGGTGCTTATTATTTGGTTGAAGTCATATTTGTTTGGTAGCTTTAACCACAAAAAAGTGGTATCAGAGCGTCAGGTTGGTTCGTGTACCTTGTCCAAATCATGGAGACTAACACAAGTCGGATGGTTACCTTGAATGGGTCCAATTACTATATGTGGAAAGGGAAGATAGAAGATCTCTTGTATGTGAAGGATTATTATTTGCCCGTGTTTACCGATGAGAAGCCATCGGATAAAACCGATAAAGAATGGGAGCTTTGTCACCGTCATGTGTGTGGCTACATTAGGCAATGGGTAGATGATAATGTCCTCAATCAAGTTAGTGAAGAAAAGCATGCATGGACTTTGTCACCGTCACCGTCAGATGTTTTATTTGAAGTGCCAAGATGGAAAGAATATGTCAGACCACTTGAACACATTCCAAGGAATCATTAATCAACTGACCGGAATGAATATCAAGTTTGACGATGAAATACAAGGGTTGTGGCTTCTTCGTACTTTACAGGACTCGTGGGAGTCTTTTAGAATGTCTTTGTCTAACTCAGCCCCGAATGGAATTTGCTCCATGGATATGGTGAAGAGCAGTGTCCTGAACGAATAAATGAGAAGAAAATCACAGGGTTCTTCTTTAGAGATGGATGTCTTATTCGTTGAAAGGCGGGGGAGAAGTAAAAGCAAGGGTCCGAATGATAGAAATCGAAGTAAAAGCAAATCTGGAAGGTACGCCAACCTTGAGTGTCACCATTTTGGCAAAAAAGGGACACAACAAGAGGTATTCCAAAAAGTTCCTCAGGGAGAATCCGAATGGCAAAGTTAAAGAAAAGAAAGCTGGAGATGGTGAAGATGGTGAGAAGGTAGCGCCGGCTACCGATGATTCTCTTATTATTTATGAAGGCGATGCCCTCAATCTCGCTTGCCAGAAGACTAGTTGGGTGATCGATTGCGGTGGTTCGATTCATGTCACATCGCGAAGGGATTTCTTCAGGTCCTACACTCCCGGTGACTTCGGAAGTGTTAGGATGGGAAATGATGGTATTGCTAAGACAGTTGGCATGGGAGACGTGCACTGGGAGACAAGAAATGGCAACACCTTAGTTTTGAGAGGTGTGAAGCATGTTCCCAACATTCGCATGAATTTGATATCTACCGGCAAGCTCGATGATGAAGGGTTTTGTAACACCTTTTGAGACGGAAAGTGGAAACTCACGAAGGGATCCTTGATTGTGGCGAGAGGGCAGAAGTGTTCCTCATTTTACGTGATGAACGTGAAGATTGCGGATTCTATGATAAATGCGGTGGACGACGAACGCATTGTAGAACTTTGGCACAACCGACTTAGCCACATGAGCGAGAAGGGCTTGACAGTGTTGGCCAAGAAGAATCTCTTCCTAGGTGTGCAAACGGGTTTTCTGAAGAAGTGTGCTCATTGCTAGGCAGGGAAGCAAACCAGAGTTGCCTTCAAGAGAGTTCCCCACCCACGCAAAATGGCTATTTAGGATATGGTCCACTCTGATGTATGTGGTCCAATGAAGACGAGAACACTTGGTGGTGTCTTTTACTTTGTGACTTTCATCGAAGATCATTCAACAAAGATTTGGGTGTATATGTTGAAGTCAAAAGATCAAGTTATAGACGTCTTCAAGAAGTTTCATGCTCTTGTGGAACAAGAAACAAGTGTGAAGCTTAAGTGCATCCGAACAGATAATGGAGGCGAATACTACGGCTCGTTTGATGAGTATTGTAGTCAACATGCTATTCGACAACAGAAGACACCTCCAAAGACTCCTCAGTTGAATGGGTTAGCTGAGAGGACGAACCGGACACTAGTTGAGAGGGTGAGATGTTTGCTTTCGCAGTCACAGTTACAGAGGTCCTTTGGGGTGAAACCTTGAGTACAGTGGTGCATGTTTTGAATCTTACTCCATGTGTTCCATTGAATTTTGAGGTTCCAGACAGGATGTGGTCGGGAAAGGAAGTTTCGTACGATCACTTGCGTGTTTTTTGATGCAAGGCCTTTGTTCGTATTCTGAAAGATGAGATGTCGAAGCTCGATATGAAAACAAGGCCATGTGTATTCGTCGGTTATGGCCTTGATGAGTTTGGATACAGGTTCTATGACTCAGTGCAGAAAAAGCCTGTAAAAAGTCGAGATGCGGTGTTCGTAGAAGACCAAAGTATAAAAGACATTGATAAAGCCGAGATGACAGAGAAGTACAATGATGATATGGTTGATTTAGATCTAGCCCCTATACCTACTGTGTATCCTGATCAAGAGGGAACGGCGCAGAGACTGATGTTGGTCCTGCAAACAGTAATGCCCCTACAGTTGATGATGTTGAGTCAACTGATGAAGTTTAAGAAGGGGTTCAAGAACCACCAGAAGAGCCTATTTTGAGGATATCCAATCGAGAGCGGCGTCCGTCTATTAGATACTCCTCAAATGAGTATGTGATGATCACCGATGCCGGAGAGCCAGAAACTTACCAAGAGGAGACCTTAGTCGATGAGAAGAAGCAGTGGTTGAAAGCCATGGAAGAAGAGATGGAGTCTCTTCACGAGAACCACACTTATGAACTGGCGAAGTTACCGAAAGGCAAGAAAGCGCTCAAAAATAGAAGGGTCTTTTGATTGAAGATTGAAAATTCTAGATCGCAGCCACGATTCAAGGCACGATTGGTTGTGAAGGGGTACGGTCAGAAAAAGGGAATCGACTTGAAGAGATATTCTCTCAGGTGGTGAAGATATCCTCGATTCGTGTTGCCTTGGTTTAGCGGCACGGTTGAACCTGGAGATCGAGCAACTTGATGTGAGAACTGCATTTCTTCACGGCGACTTGGAAGAAGAAATTTATATGAAGCAGCCCAAGAGATTCCAAGTTCAAGGCAAAATGCACCTTGTGTGAAGATTGAAGAATATCTTGTATGGCCTTAAGCAAGATCCGCGACTGTGGTACAAGAAATTCGACTCCTTCATGGTGAGTCAAGGGTACAACCGAACATCATCAGACCATTGTGTGTTCGTCAAGAGTTAATTCAATGATGATTTTATTATTCTCATCTTGTAGGTTGACGATATTTTGGTCACATGCCATGATACTAGCAAGATTTCTCAGTTGAAGAGAGAGTTTAGGAGCGGCAAAAAGATACTCGGTATGAAGATATCTTGTGGTAGAAAGAATAAGAGGCTATGGTTATCCCAGGAAGACTACATCAAGAAGGTACTTGAGAAGTTTAACATGAGCAAGGCAAGGGTGGTGAGCTCTTCACTTGCAGGTCACTTTAAGCTCAATTCGGAGCAATGCCCTACAAGTGAAAAAGACAAGGCAGACATGAGTCGAGTTCTATATGCGTTTGTGGTTGGCAGTTTGATGTATGCCATTGTGTGCACCAGGCCCGATATTGCTTATACTGTTGGAGTAGTCAGTCATTTTCTCTCCAATCTGGGAAGAGAACATTAGAAAGTCGTCAAGTGGATATTGAGATATCCTAGAGGTACCTCAAGAGCATGTTTATGCTTCGGTGATGCTGATCCTATGCTAGTTGGATATGTCGACTCAGATACGACAGGTGATGTTGATTCCAGAACGTCCATTTCAGGATTTCTGATGACTTTTGCAGGGGGGGATGTGTCGTGGCAGTCTAAGCTGCAAAAGTGTGTTGCGTTGTCTACCACAGAAGCTGAGTACATTGCGATAACAGAAGGTTGCAAAAAGGCTTTGTGGATGAGGCGATTCCTAGAGGAATTAGGCTTGCACCAGAAGAAGTATCTTGTGTTCAGTGATAGCCAAAGCGCTATCCACCTCTCTAAGAACTTTTCATTTCATTCGAGTGAGAATGGTGCAGACATGATGACGAAGACTTCTTGAAAGAGAAGCTTGAAGTATGCCAGCAAAGAGCGGGCTTGTTGGAGCACACCACTTGATCCGGAGGGGAAGTTTGTTGAGTCCGGCCTAATTGTAGGATTGGACTAAATAAGGGCTAAATAGGTTTTCAAGTGGCAACGGGCACAGACAGAAAAGAAAAACCGAGAGAAACATTTTTTTTAAAAAAAAACCATTCCCGAATTCGCATCTGCACAGTGCAGTCCCAGAAAATCTCCAATTCCCGGAGATTGCACCATTGGAGACTAACACAAGTCGGATGGTTACCTTGAATGGGTCCAATTACTATATGTGGAAAGGGAAGATGGAAGATCTCTTGTATGTGAAGGATTATTATTTGCCCGTGTTTACCGATGAGAAGCCATCGGATAAAACCGATAAAGAATGGGAGCTTTGTCACCGTCATGTGTGTGGCTACATTAGGCAATGGGTAGATGATAATGTCCTCAATCAAGTTAGTGAAGAAAAGCATGCATGGACTTTGTCACCGTCACCGTCAGATGATTTATTTGAAGTGCCAAGATGGAAAGAATATGTCAGACCACTTGAACACATTCCAAGGAATCATTAATCAACTGACTGGAATGAATATCAAGTTTGACGATGAAATACAAGGGTTGTGGCTTCTTCGTACTTTACAGGACTCGTGGGAGTCTTTTAGAACGTCTTTGTCTAACTCAGCCCCGAATGGAATTTGCTCCATGGATATGGTGAAGAGCAGTGTCCTGAACGAATAAATGAGAAGAAAATCACATGGTTCTTCTTCAGAGATGGATGTCTTATTCGTTGAAAGGCGGGGAAGAAAATCACAGGGTTCTTCCCGGAGATTGCACCATTGGATCGTCACCGAATTTTGGTAGCAGGTTCATGACTTCTTCTCTTCATATTGAACGGTGGAGATCAAATTTTGAACTTGTTTGTGCGGTCTGTTTGAGGGTGACGTGAAGGGGATATTTGTGGTGTTTTTGTTGAATTGTTTCTCGTTGTTAGCCAAGATCTTGTGTTGTGATCTTAAGCATTGTTGTTAGCCTCTAGGTTGCTGAACTGGAGAGGATTTCAGTTTTACCTATTATTGGTTTGATATAGTTGATGATTTAAGCGGCCTACGGGTCCCGTGGTTTTTTTACCCAATTTGGGGTTTTCCGCGCTAAAAATCGTGTCATTTTATTGCTTGATTGATCATCGTTTGGTTGCTATTGTTTGTGGTTATTGTTATTGTTGAATTGGGACTTGGTGCTTATTATTCGGTTCAAGTCATATTTGTTTGGTCGCTTTAATCACAACAGACACTTCAACTTGCAATTGTTTTAATTAAATTCAATTAATTCGTGCATGATGTTATTAACTCTAAACGGACTAGTGGATTAACCACCTTCTAGTTAAATTTAATAGGTCATAATTTCAAAATTGGTCCTATAATTTGACCACTTTCCAAAAAAACCACCCCGCCATTGGCCACTTTCAAACTTGGTCCTATAATTTGACATTTTAATCAAATTTGGTCCTTTTCTAATCAAATTTGGTCCTATAATTTGACATTGTGGTCCGTTTGTAATCTCATTTTAATCCACAAATTCCACAAAATCAAATCAAACAAATCCATAAACATGCCCGAGCTATCCGTAATGAGCATGATCGACCTGCCACTGATGTCAAAAGCATAAATTCCACAAAATCAAATCAAACAAATCCATAAACTTGCTCGAGCTATCCGTAATGAGCATGATCGACCTGCCACTGAGGTCAGAAGCACAAATTCCACAAGACCAAATCAAATAAAACCATTAACCTGCTCGAGCTATCCGTAATAAACATGATCGACCTGCCACTGAGGTCAAAAGGACAAATTCCACAAAATCAAATTAAACAAATCCATAAACCTTCTCGAGCTATCCGTAATGAGCATGATCGACCTGCCACTGAGGTCAAAAGCACAAATTCCACAAAATCAAATCAAGCAAATCCATAAACCTGCTCAAGCTATCCGTAATAAGCATGATCGACTTGCCACTAAGGTCAGAAGCACAAATTCTACAAGACCAAATCAAATAAAACCATTAACTTGCTCGATCTATCCGTAATGAGCATGATCTACCTGCCTTGAGGTCAAAAGCACAAATTCCGCAAAATCAAATCAAACAAATCCATAAACCTGCTCAAGTTATCAGTAATGAGCATGATCGACCTGCCACTGAGGTCAAGAACACAAATTCCACAAAATCAAATCAAGCAAATCCATAAACCGAGCTATCCGTAATGTGCATGATCGACCTGCCACTGAGGTTAAAAGCACAAATACCACAAAATCAAATCAAGCAAATCCGTAAACCTGCTCGATCTATCCGTAATAAGCATGATCGACCTGCCACTGAGGTCAAAAGCACAAATACTGCAAAACCAAACCAAATCAAATAAAATCCAATCAACTTGCTTGAGTTATTCGTGACGAGCTTGATGGACCTGCCACTGAGATTAAAAGCACAAAAAGAACCAAGTGGAAATTATTGACACGAATAAAATCCAATCAACCTTCTCTCCTCATTTGTTGCAAACCAAGGTGTTTTCTTTGTGGTCGTTTATGAATGGGAGTGACATGATTGATTTGGGAAATGAATATTTCCAAATTTATTTCACTACACAAGATGAGGCCAATCGTGTGCTTACTAGGGGTCCATGGGTTGTTTCAAAGCAATATCAGAAATAATATTTACACGTCCAACCGTGGAGTGAAGAGTTTGATGCAACTTGTAATCAAATTAAATCTTTGGTGATGTGGATTCGCCGACCGGGGTATGTCAGTTCACCTGTACCACAAAATGGTATTTAGGACTATTGGGGAAATTGTGGGCGAAGTGGTGAAGATTGATCATCAGACATCTGGCAAAACGAGGGTAAGTATGCTCGTCTAGCGGTGGTCTCAAATTTAAATAAGCCTTTGTGTGCTAGTATCACGATTTGTAAGAAGGTCCAATGGGTAGAATATGAGTTCCTCCCGTATATTTGTTTCAACTATGGCATATACGATCATTTGACTGCGCTTTGTCCTGCATGTTCCATATCAGATGAAGGGACTGATGTAACACCCTATTTAAATAAGAATTATTGTGTTTTATTTTGATTTATTATTATTATTAATTGTCCATTATTATTATTATTATTATTATTATTATTATTATTTTTATGTGTTTAATTGTCAAATTGCCTAAATATCATATTTAATTAAACGTGTATTATTAAATAACATTAATATGTGTATTGTATATATATATATTAGTCGATTATAATTTTAATTGTCGCGTGATTAATCCGAGCCCGAGAGCTTATTCTAAGTGTAGAACCCGACCCAAGCAATCGAACCTGGTCCGCCCATGAGCCGTGTCCCGGCCAGCCGACCCGGTTCACTCTTCCATGCGTGAGTTTTTTTTTTTTTTTTTTTTTT